GGAACAGGCCTATTATTTTACTTGTAAAAGCTTATTAGTCAACTATAAACAGAGGAAAATAGCTTGTTTGTTGATAAATTCAATGTGAAGCCTGCCTTAAGTCAGTAGCATTTGATGTCCCCTAATTGGGGCAATTCTAAAACATTTTGTTGCTCAAAACTTTGTCTACGCTTGTTTCAGCTCTAGTTTAACAAATGAGTGTTGACTCAAAGCTACAACATTGGCTTAATGACAAAAGGTAGTCAGATGAAAATGTAATCTGTCTGTTAAACAAAAAGAAAAAACAATTACACTGACTGTCTTTTTTTTTTTTTTTTTTTTTTTTTTGCTAAACAACTAGAGCCAGATTCACTCCTCAGTGCATCACAGACTTGCAGCAGCTTTTGTCTTTGTTTCTTAAAATTGCCTGGAAAGTTAAGATTCAGGCAGCTTGGTACAAATTATGTTTTTGTTGGACTCTGTAGAGCGTGTAGTGAAAATTTTCCTGACTTCACTTCAAAGGATCCGTCACAGTGAAGTGACTTTTATGGGCTGACTTTACACTCTGCCCAAAATAGCAGAAGTGTTTAAACAAAAAGAAAGCCATCAATTTGCCGCAGTTTGCTCTTTGTTGTAATCTTTAAAAAGAAGGATATGCAAGTCCGGTCAGGGGAATAATTCTCAAAATATATTTGGTTTGAAGCGATTTGTGCAATTAAAACCAAAACTTTACAAACACAATGTAAAAAGATACACGACATTTTTATACTCACCAACTTCTACTATATAAGTTAGTTCAAATTTTCTTAAGTCAATATAGTTAAGTTATTTCCTTAAGTCAATATAATTAGAGAAATTTTAAGACAGTTTTAAAAACTTTTTATAGTGAAGTTACTCTAATTGTCTATTGGACTATATGACTTGTGTGAAACTGTATGATTTATGTGGAATGTTTTGAATATTCATCTACATGCTTCTGAGGATGCACCATCACTTGTTCATCCTGACAGAACTGATGTTACTGAGTGTTGCTTTATTGGTCAACTTGTTTGCACACATTTCAGTGAGGGAGTCAGTTCAGGGCTTTGTGATGGCCCGTTCCAAGAGCTGACTGGGTTCTCTTAGACTATTTGAAAATCAGTTAAGGTTAAGTTCAAGGTCATTGTTCATCTGGAAGAAGTATTTCTTGAAATCTTGCATAAGTCTGTGTGTTTTCTGAATTGCAGCAGTATATCCTCCAACAAAACACCCTCACAATTATTATACCTCCGCTTACTAACTTCATAGTTGGAATGGAGTTTTCAGATTTGTAGAAATCTGAATATAACAATAGTCATCGGGGCCATACACTACATTTTAGTTTAAAAAAACAGCAAGACATGTTTAGAAAAAAAGTTAAATAAGATCTTTGACTTTTTCACAAATGTTCTCCTTTGGTTTCTTCTAGCAGAGTGGCTTTTCAGTTAAGGACACTGTTTACTCTGCAATCAGGTCCAAAAAACTTTTTCACAAGGTCTCCTTTAAGTATTTGGGATGATCTTGACTGTGTATCTCTGGGATACAGAACCAGTCTCTTTCTTGATCAGCATGATGCCTCAACAATCATATCAATTTTATCGCTGTTTGAATAGATTAATTTGTCAACTTAAGGGATCTAAAAAGTGTATCCGAGATAAACCAGCTTTATGAAGGTCTGTGATTCTCTTCCTGATATCTTGATTTATCTTTATACATTTTTTACATAATGTCACACATGAGAGCGGTTAATGGCAGTTAGGTATATTTAACGAAAAAGAGGAAGAATTTAGAACAATTTAATGTAATCCAAGAAAGCAAGGGATGATTATCAGGGTTCTTCTTAGAAAGTGTTTGTAAATGTCTACCTACTGCCACATAATATAGGAAAGGTTTTTTTTTCTGGTTTTTAGGCCTGAGTATGAAATTCTTATCTAATGTGCAGAAATGTTTTAGTGAAACTTGATTTAACTTCTAACATTAGCTGTGTTAAATCAGATGCTCTTGCCTGCACACATCCTACTCCTTTGCTGTGAGTTTAGGAGCTAATCTGAGTGTTTGTTGGATGGCTGCCATTCAGACCTCCCTGTCAAAGCCCGACCAGGTGTATTTTACAGCTGTCAAAACACATTAACTTCAGTAGCACCATGACAACGATGTCTCTGGTAAGAAAGTTAGGTAAGAGTTGATACTCTTTTTCTGGCTAACACAAATCAACTGAATACAATTAAATGAAAGTAATATTGAGTAAAAGATAACTAAAAGGAAAAAATAAGTAAAGTTAAACCTTATATGGTTCCTAGTCTGGTCAAGATAAAGTTTATATTTCCAAATGTATTTATCTGCATTTCCACATATAGAAACTTTGAAAACATCCTATTTGTCTTAACAAACATCAAGTTTGGATAACCTCATGCTTCTAGTGGTTTCCCTACATGTTTTTTTGTGTCTCCTCTCTAACAGAGGGAATGGGATCTGATAAACCAACAATTAGGCATGTACGTATGTCTTACCCTTCATCATGTAGCTCAAACGTTGTAAGAGATGGGCTCCCTTAACATTGTTTTATTCATAGATTATATGTCAAAGTATTAAAACAGAATATTTTACCTGATTACAGCCTTTTCAGATCAAAGTACAATCTAAACATAAACATAGATGAACTTTGTATACGTGTGACTTTCATTCATGACATGGTCGCAGTCCAGTCCAAATTGGTAGGAAGGAAGATCAGCTCCTCCATGTCGAGTCCATGGTTCTTCATTTGGGAAAAGGTAACTTGTCTGCTTCAGATCAGAGGAGATGCATTGCCTCACATCGACGATTCTACAGTAAGTATTGGGTCCTCCTCTTAATGAGGGAAGAACTGGCTGCAGTGTCCCCACACAATGCGGACACTGCAGCCAGTCTATTGTTGTGAAGAGAGAGTTGAGCCAAAAGGCGAAGCTTTCGACTTATTGGTCGGTCTACGTTCCTAGCCTCAATTACAGTCACAAGATCTGGATTGTGATCAAAAGAATAAGATCCTAGATACAACCAGCTGAAATGAGTTTTCTCCACAGGGTGGTCTCCCTTAGAGATAGGGTGAGGAGCTCGGAGTAGAGCCACTTCTCCTCCACATCGAGAGGAGTCAGCTGAGTTGGCTCAGACATCTTTTTTGATGCTCCCTGGAAGCGTATATCGGGAAGTCTATTAGGCATGGCCCATCAAGAGGAGGTCCAAAGTGGCAACCAAGGGGGACCCTGGAGGGACCATGTCTCTTGTCTGGCCCTAGAAATCCTCGAGCTTCCCCCCAAGAGGAGGTGTCTGGGGAGAGTGAAATCTTGGAGTGTCTGCCGAGACTGCTGCCCCATCAACCCGGTCAAAGATAAGCAAGAGTTGATGACTGCGAGTATGAGTACCCCACATTTTAGTCACAGCTCAGAATACCAAAACTCTTTAAGTTGAAGTACAGTCTCAAGGAACTTTCTTATAGTTTCTCTTAGTTTTACACCTATATGGGACAAAATTTCTTTATAATTCTTTTTTTTTACTTGAGAAAATTAGTAGTTTTAGTCTTCTATAGATATGGAGGATTATGGATAACACTTTTATTTGTATTTAAAGTTGTACGATTCCAATTATGACAAAAAAAAAAATTTAGTTAGAAAGAACAACATACACTATATTGCCAAAAGTATTTGCTCACCCATCCAAATTATTGGAATCAGGTGTTCCAATCACTTCCATGGCCACAGGTGTATAAATTCAGCAGCACTAGCATGCAGACTGTTTTAGCAAACATTTGTGAAAGAATGGGTCGCTCTCAGGAGCTCAGTGAATTCAGCGTGGAACTGTATTAGGATGCAACCTGTAGCAACAAATCCAAGTCGTGAATCTCGTCCTATATTCCACATGTAACTGTCAGTGTGATTATAAGAAATGGAAGTTTTAGAACAGACGAACTCACACGAAGGTGGTTAGGCAGAAAGTGCGGAGCAGGTCAGAGGAATAGCGCATTAGTGCAATAGGTTTGTAACTTTCTGCATAGTCAATCATACAGACTCCAAACTTCATTGGCCTTCTGATTAAAGTCAGAAAAAAAATATCAGTGGCTGAAAGAAGTTCATTAATGGGTTTCCATGGCTGAGCACTGAGTTCTAAGCCATAATTCACAATGTGCAATGCATCAGCTAGATGTGTGTTGGTGTTCAATAGATCCAGGTCATAGTCGAGCCAAAAAACCACGTTTTTGATGAAACGATCGCTACTACCTTTGCAATTGATGACGTTTTGCCATAGGAAGCTATCTTGTCAGTTGATTTGTGGAGTGTTTTGTAGTGATTTATTTTGAGGTTTGTGTTTGAAGCTATCTGGTTTGAGCCACAATTTGTATCAGTGATTAACTAATTAATCATACAAAGATTGAATTTTGAATTCATTTCTCTTTTTTATGTTTACTGGACCCGTGTATATCAAACATGAGCCATCAGGCAAAAAATGTCAATGAGTTATAGAAATGAATATTTGACTGAGTTTGAGTGTAAAGTGAATTACATGTCCTCCACAGAAGGTCCTCAGACTCACCATAGGTCTGCAAAATTATGATGAATTAGCATGTAGATGATAGCTAGGATTCTCGTTCAAATCAGTGTGCGACCATTACAAAATTGCGCTTTTGGTTAAGATACTGGACAAAATTTCCTTAAACACACTCCTAACCTTGTGGACAGCCTTCCCAGAAGAGTTGAAGCTGTTCTAGCTGCAAAGGGTGGACCGACGTCATATTGAACCCTATGGATTAGGAACGGGATGTCACTTAAGCTCATATGTGAGTCAAGGCAGGTGAGCAAATACTTTTGGCAATATAGTGTATCTATTTTAGCATATAGCAAAAAAAAAGGGTATTCACTTGAGTCTTAGAAAGTTTTTCAACATCTTTCAATATCTTCAACTTAGCTGTGTAACAAGTAAGAACAGCCTTAGTATACTAACAAAATAGAGTATTATTTAATTATCAGACTTACCTAACTTTGATTATATCTTTACACTTGGATTCTGCCACTTCTGCTCATTTAGTCAACTGGATCCACTCAGAACTTTAAGGGTACCATTTACAAGCAGAGAAAAGGAAAAACCCAGCTCGCCCCTTCATGTCAGAGAGGGAAAAGTGCAGACACACGCTAATGCAATTAGAGTAAGTCTGGAGAGTCTGGTTGCCTGTGTGCCTCTGTGTGTCTGATGGGTGGAGTTTTAAAAGTAATGGGAATGTTTTTAGAAAACTGAAACTGAAGGACTTTTTTCTCTGCAATGCACAGAGTGGCTGGAAGCAAGTAGAGAGAAAAAGGACGTAATTTACTTCACATATGGGGATTATGGTAAGCATGTGGCTGCATAGTACAGAGAAAGCTTAGATATCTATATCACTTCTTTTTTAAGAAGATTTCTGAAAATAAGTAAAAAAAATGGATTCATGTAGGCATATAAGAAAGAAAAAAAGTTAAATTATTCTTGGCTAGCACAGGGAGGTTTATTACCCTGAAATACGTGTTAATTTTATGTGAGCCTATGCATTCCTTATGTATTTGGTGATGTTGGTGAATATTCTCAATAATCCAGGTCATAGTCAGTCCAAAAAACCACAGTTTGTTTAAAAACAATCCACTGGACCTTGTTTCCAAGTTTGAAGACGTTTAGCTTCCCATCCAGGAAGCTTTTTCAAAGTTCAACGTTTTTTTGTGTGACTTTTTTAGTGTTCTATTTTCATGATTTTGTAGTATTGAGAGCTATCTGGTTTTAGAAGCACAAAGTTTGATCTGCTTAACTATTAATCATACAAAGATTTGATTTTGTTTCTTTTTCTTTTTTTTTTTTACTGACGTGATATATAAACCTGAGCCCATTCAGGCAAAAAAATTGTAATAGAGTTATTTTAGAGTTATATGAATATATATGACTGAGATTGTGAGCTTAAAGTTGAGTTTTACATAAATCTCCACCCAAAAGAAGGGGCTCCTCAAAAACATGCCCATAGGTTCCTGCTAAAAATTATAGATAGATTAGCATTAGTATAGATTACCAGCTAGGGAATTGTTTAAAGTGTTTTTGCTGCCCCTATATAATAAAATTTCCTTATTTGTTTGTTTTCTTGACCCATTTCTTCTTAAAGAAACTCCTATCACTGCTGCTTTTTTTATGATTGGAATGACCTGAAATGTGGCTGTTAGTTTACAAACACAGAAAAGATGAATCCTCCCTGACCACTGAAATACAACTCCTGTAGAACCAACATTAATTACCTACATTTTGGTACAGCTTTATTATAACGTATAACAACAAGTGATACACATCGACCATGAGAACAACAGGATAGACTGTATGATTATGACGCCATTTTAAAGCTGGTCAACTTGTAACAGTACAGCTTCTCTCTACAAAAGTTATCTATGTAGAGATGATATCCTTATAGCTTAGTTTACTCTATAAAATCAGATTTGTAGATGAAACATCAGACTAACAATCATTATGTAAAGGATCCAAGAAGGTTCTCCCAGAACATATGTAAGCAGGTATTTATCCTCAATGCAAAATATTAAGTTTGAATTACTCTACACTCCTTAAAACGTTTGATACATTTAAGAAATGGATTTGCAAAACCTTAAATTGCGCTTTTGGAAAAAGCTGTTCAAAGTATATGACAGCACAGACAATTATACAGTTTATAAAATAAAGATGACTCTTAAGGAAGAAAGTTGAACTGTTTAAAGGAAAGAATTTACAGGATCGAAATGCTTGATCAGTGTTATTCATCTGATATTCAAACCAATTAGTCATTATAAGAGCCAATCTCGGATCCAAGTACAATGATTTTAAGATTTGTTTTGCTTTTAATCCTGAATCACTTTCACAATGAGCTCTTTCCCATGATTCATGTACATGACGAATTTGGGTTTCAAATTAAAGTTATTTACTGGAAGGTTTAGTAAATAAAATATAAATCAAGTTTCAGCTGAGGATTTATTGACCATGAGAATATTTGAGCATCTTTTAAATTACTTGTACCATGTGCACCCTTAGGGCTGTTATTGACCAAGGCAAGGACTTAGTACTCTTCCAACGCTCTTATATATACAGTAGCCGGGTGCACACAGTGTGCTTGGGCTGATAAACTCTGCAAATCCGCTCAGGGACCCAAACACAGTTTAGGCTTTCCTCAGTGCCCAGAACCAGGCTGCTTTGCCTATTATGTTTCCGTCTAACTACACAGATTGCAAAGCTTTGTGACTAACAGGCAGGGTGCTGTGATAATATTGAGCACTATAATTTATAACATGTTGCATTCTGTGTTGTAATTAATAAATCTTCGGCTGGAGGGGCCATGTGAATTTTTGACAGTATGGCAGTCTGGCTTATAAAACACTTACACAAGAAGGTGACCTTAAATAACTAGCACCAATAAATGGCTGCTAGTGAAATTGCAGCATAAAACACATGCTCAAGCTGAAATGATATGAAGCTTTTGAGTATTACAAAATCTTTAAAAGCATATGCAAGTAGCTATGATAAATGCAGTGAACGGTTCTCTTCTGATGACTGAAGTACAATTAGAAATAAAAAAAATGATCAGAATAAAAAAGTATCTCCTTCCTCTTAAATATAAAAAATGGATTTAGATTTTGAAAGATGTATATTAGGAAAAATCAAGACTAAATGGTAAAAATAATTAAATTAAAGTAGTAATTTTAGCCCTTTCAAATATTGTAATCAAAGCTACCTCTCTATACAGTACATGCACCGTTATTTTGTCATAATGAGAGAAAAACTCTGAATCAGGGCAACCACAGAGACAGTTAGTTTGGTTAAGGAAAACTTTATTAAACAAAGAACAGAAAATGGAGTCTGGCAGGATCTACCTGGTACAGCCTAGGGAAAAGTTTGGGTGATGATGAACAACTGATCTGAGGAGGTGGGAAGGTGGAGGATGCTGAACTCACGGGGCTTGAGGGTCCTGGAGGAGGACTGCAGCAAACTGGCTTGTTTGGTTGCTAGGAGGGAAAGAACAGAGACACAGGATTAGATCTGGCTTAAATAGAAATCTAGGAGTAAGATGGTCGGTCATATACCACGCTTGTAGCGAGACAGAACTGACGCCCTCCTCCTGGTCCCAGCTCCTTAAGTAGGCTCCAAAATCAACAGAGATGAGCTGCACCTGCCCATCACACCCTGCAGAGAAGAGAGAGAGACACTAGACCTGCAGTATGACATATTTAGCTCTTCAGCTGGATTCTTCAGATCCTTCCCTGCTAAACTATGAACTTTCTCATTTCCACTAAACACCAAAAATCTTGTTTGTAATATAAATTTAAGTTAATACATAACTAATTCAAATCAAAAACAGCAAATCACGGATCCCTCTTATAAAACAAGATCTTTTTGACTATCTCAGATTTTTTTTTTTTTAGTGTTCCTTATTGTTCAGAAGGAATGTTGAGTACCAAGCCTGTCAAGCTCAGAACTAAAGGACCCAGTATGCAAGACGGAAGAACAGTTAGATTTAACAAAACGTTTATCTAAGACGGAACTACTGAGTATAACGTCAGCGTCTAAGGCAGGAACCTCTGCAGGGAGAGAACAGAGGTTAGTGACCGTTTCCATCTGGCGGAGGATGATAATGAACATGGGAGTCACTAACCTGGTCTTATAGTTCAGTCAGCGCCCTTAGGATGACGTAGGTTCTAGCTGTTAGGCTTCCAAAGAGAAGTGGAAGGCACCGCCCAGAGAGTCCCAAATGCTGAAGTCCCGGAGGTCGGAGAACATGACAATCCAGAGGGTGAAGCCAAAGCCGGTGTTGAAGAGGTGTTAAGGAGTCAGAGCCAGAGGATCAGAGGTGTGAAGAGGTGCCAAAAGACAATTCAGAACGGAGTTGGAAACAGTTTCAGGTTTGGTAAACATGCAGAAATCCAACAGCAGTCAAAAGACAGGTCAGGCCAACAGATCAGAACAGAGACATGCAGGCTCAGAAGTCAAGAGGCAGAACTGGTCAGGATCATGCAATCAGAACATACAGTAATGCTAGAGAATTTTCACCAAAGGCTCCAATAATCTGGTGCTGATGACTCGTCTGAAGGTTGGTTAAATAGAAGCTGAAATAGATGGATCAGATGCAGACTGGGAAAGATTTTCGGCCCTGACATTTTTCCATTTTTCCATCCCACTTAGGGACCCCCTGGGAAAAAAATGGAAGCAAAGTCAAACGCATGCATCTCAAAAGTGAAACAAAATACAAATACACATTGTGGATTTACCGATCTATCTTCAAGCATCACACGACAACAAGCACCAAGACTTCTATAATGTGGTTTTATTGGCTTTGGTTGTTAACACGGATGAGACACTGACTGCTGCTGCATAACTTCCACAATTGTACGAACCAGCCAGCCAGACACCCACCCACTCACACATAATAGGCCTACAATGTAAGCCTGAGTGTTGTAAAAACACCAACATAAAACAATACAATATAGAGGCAGACAGGCAGTTCTTCAAGAATGAATACATGAAAGCTCAGCAATGTGTAAGCATTCACTGCGGGTCTAGGTGGAATGTGAGCAATGAAATGGAATAATGTATACACCATGGTAGACGGCCATCCTAAACTGTCAATGCACGTAAGACGGGAAAGGTTAGCCTTTTGATGCAAAACCCCATCATGCACTTCAACATATTTTTGCAAAATATTAGAACATAAATTCACCTAATATCAGAGGAACATCGTAGTTTGGTTTAAAGAAAGCATTTTAGTTTAATTATAATTTAGTTTGTTGCAAGGATTCTACAGTTTGAAGAAACAGAACTTTACAGTTTGAAGAAATAGAAAATTACACCATGTGCCAACCGTCATAAGGATGCATGACAAGGAAGGGCTATACACACTGCATGCATCATTTATGTAGTTAACATTGTATTACTTCTTGAGCTCCTTGAGTTATTTACTGTCAGAGGCAGGGTGCTTCAGCTGGAGAGTAAGTGTTGGGGACGGTATGATTTAAGGAGGGCCGGCCCTCACACGCTGAAATAAGGACCGGCCCACAAATGCCCAGTATCACAGATTACCAGTCCAAGCCTGATCAGATGAGTGGTAATGAGAACTGGGCGGAGATAGACATGTGAATGAAATGAGAAATCAGACCAGTCATTAGTGCCAAGACACA